AGGGACATCTGTGTATGATCTTGACTGACAGTGAACTTCCACTCATCTCTGCTTGCCAGGAGGTCAGCAAGAGTTACCACCACATAAAAATCCCACCAATAGATATATTTAGTCACTGCGGTTCAAGGAAAACGACTGCTTGCACTGAAAATAAATTTAGCAATTGTTTCCAGTTTCTGCTTCTTCACTAAGGCACAGCCCAGCTGCTTCACATTCCAGAGGACTTCAGCTGTCTTTTTTCTCCACTCCTTGTCCACTTCCTTCTTACAACTGCTCAGACCATCTCAGTCTTGCAGCAGTTATCCTGCAGGCTATATTTCTGAACACTCCAATCTTGAAGCTGTGCAACAGACACCTGCCGAGCCTACGATAACATGCTAAAAATGCAAAATTCTGCCCTTTGTGCCATTTAGTGATCATCTTGTACCTGCATTTTGCCTCTACATAAAACTAGACTGAACTGCTGATGCTTTTTAAACAGGTTAAAACAGGACACACATGCTGAGCGACATATACATGCAGTAGGTGCTAAAATCCCAAGTAAGGAAAACTTGGAACTGAACTACCTTTATGGTTGTGAAGTGAGTCTTTAGAAGAGTTTAATTTTCATATTCCAAGACACTTCACCGACAATTTTTACTTCACTTGAAAACCACCAGTAAAGCAGCATTTACACTGGTCAACTGCAAAACTTAACTGGAAAGCCCTTGCTTGTACTGGAGAAGACAGTACAGTGGTGAATGCACAACTGAACTGAGAAAGAGCTCTGCCCAGTAGCTCACCTGAGCATAACTGACACAGAAAACTGTACAGGTGTAAAAAAAAACTATGCAGGATAATTACCTTCCATAGAATGATCCAAGAGACAATGACAGCTCAAAATATATCCTTTCCAAAAATGAGATCCCTGGGAAAGTTGAGGTTAATACAGACATATTCACAGATGCATAATTCAGAATCATGTAAATTGATGCAGAGGGCTCTGGACAAACACAAAGTTCCTATAAAGACGGGAATAATCAGGCCTCCTGAATGATTTCTTCTATTTTTCCATTTTCCTTCTGAACAGAGTTCTCCTGGGATTAGCTGCTAATACTACAGAATGAGACTTCAGAGGTGAATTTGCTTATCGGGCAAATGCTTATGAGCAAAAGGTGAAAACAACAGCATTTTGTGTCTGCTGGGAATAAATACATCCAGTTGAGTCCTGAGCAGAATAGAGATGACTGACTGCATGCCAGGTAGCTAGCACTTAAAACAGTTATCCCAAACAACCTTTAGCAGACAGCTATTGAAAAAGCAAGCTTACAAGGGATACGAACACCCTGCAAGAAATTACAAGATTAAGACTGAAAACATCAAGTAGAATAAATCTTCAAAGTATGGCACCCATATGTTCCTTGGTTTTAATAAAGGGTATTTTTGACTGGACCTGCTTCATGGAAGAGCTTGTTTTAGACCTGATGGTATCTAACTGCTCCCTTATTCTCCCGAATGATGCAGAATAGTTCAATTCCCTGGAGCACGTAATCCATCAGGTAAATAAATAGAGGAATTCATGTATTGCCATGGCAACAGGAAACCCAAGCACCATATGTGACCTTCTCCACTCTTTCTTGGCATCCTTATTTGGGATTTTAGATCAAAACTATAAGACTAAAACTAGGGTGATAACAAATATTTTCTGACAGTGAAGATGAAACATCACAGTTCTAGAGTAAAGAAGAACCACGACTGGATGCCATTCCTTCTCCTCAAGGCAGTAAGTGTTTTGCTTTGAAAAAGTGTTTAGAAGTCTACTGGCTGGAGCCTAACATAGCAGGAGGCCCAATACTAGTGAAAACAAAATATACCATCTTATTCTACATGACCAGATGACTCCCCTGCACTCCAAAGCAGTGCTGTGAATTGCTGCTCTATGGTGACCTTTCTGTTGATGAAACAGCAGTACTGAAAGGCTCCAGAGGGAGTCTTGTCTGCTCCTCCTTGGTGGAAAGGATGGTAGCTGTTATCATTTATTCTTGTTTTTTATGAAGAGCCAACAAGGTGTTTCATTTAAGGACTCAGGAAGCAGACATATGTAAGATCTCAAGGGATCGAGCTCTACAGGGTAGCACTTCTTTCCCCAGCAACCTGACTGGCTAGATACGTGAGTCAAACCAAATCCCAAGCCCATTCTGAAGTTTGTCAGAGTAGCTTGTTATCAGGCAAGAACCTGTTTTATTTACCACATAATGGGGTTTGCCTGTATTTCCCTTCCCATAAGAAAAGAAACACATTCAAATGTACACAAATACATAGACCTTAGACCTCATCACATTTGTTTCATGACTCTGTACCCTTTGTTCTGCTACTGCACACATTTTGACAACTATCCCAGAATTACTGCAGTATTATAGCCTGTGTTTATTCGGTGACGCTATCAGCCAAACTGTTTGTGTCAATCAGAAGTTCAAACACTCAGAACCAGTGATCAACACTGTACTGCACTGAAACTGCTGGCTTCCAGCCCTCCTCCCCTCTCCTTCCCAGTCTCCTCCACTTTATACAGAATCACAGAATCGTTAGGGTTAGAAAGGACCTTAAGATCATCTGGTTCCAACCCCCCTGCCATGGGCAGGGACACCTCACACTAAACCATATCACCCAAGGCTTTGTCCAACCTGGCCTTGAACACTGCCAGGGATGGAGCATTTACAACCTCCCTGGGCAACCCATTCCAGTGCCTCACCACCCTAACAGGAAAGAATTTCCTCCTTATATCCAATCTAAACTTCCCCTGTTTAAGTTTGAACCCGTTACCCCTTGTCCTGTCACTACAGTCCCTAATGAAGAGTCCCTCCCCAGCATCCCTGTAGGCCCCCTTCAGATGCTGGAAGGCTGCTACGAGGTGTCCATGCAGCCTCCTCTTATGTCCCTCTTCCATCTTTGGTCTTTACACAGCCAATGTGGAACTTCTTTCTTCCTAAAGTTCTCATCTCCGCTTCCTTGCACAAGACTGAGGGCACCAGTTGGTGAGAAATGCTTATAATGCTGGTACTTTGTATATTTAGACTGGATTTTATTATTTAATTTTACATGACCTTCTAAAGAAACCAAAGCACAAGCAGTTGAAAGAGGACAATTTCCCAGACTTACAGTTTCTCTCGTTCAGCAAACTGTCACTGCAAGACACAGGTACTAGAAAGAATGCCTCCACACGAAGGCTTCACCCAACGCATCCTCAACACTATGGTTACAGCACTGACCTGGGGATGGATCCTGCATGATGTCTTGAGTTCTTCAATGGGAGGTAGGTGTGTTGCAAGGTCGGGTCTCTAGGCTGCATGGTATCCTTTGGCCTTTCTACTCTATTGTTTATGGAACCGTGCTGCGTTTGTGTGTGTCTACAGTCATCGTCCTGCTTTTGAACTCTTCACACTGCGTCTCTGGTGTGGAGTTATATTTACTATTCTCACGGGGTTATTTACTGCACGCGAATAAACAAAACCTGATCACTTACTCATATATCTGTAATTACTGTATACAGCACTATCAGCACCGACTAGAACTCCAAGCCAAATTCACCTCTAGCATAAACAAGTGGCAATTATTTTAGAGCTGGCCCCGGTTCTATATACGATATGCTGCTGACACCTTCCTGACTCAGTTCTCCATTTCCCAGACAAACAGTTGCAGCCATATAACAGTAAGCATTGAAAAGACATAGCCAGAATCCCAAAGCAAAGTGCTGTGTTGTGATCCTATGTAAGGGATCATGCACCAGATTAACCTATGATATTTCTGGAATAACATTTGTCCCATGATGCGATGCACACTTGTGAGACAGTAACTTAGCACTAAGAGCTGGAAACATGCCTATGTATTGCACTTAAAAGCCGGCTGCGAGGCAGCCAGTCTGCTCATCCCTGGAGGCCGCTCCAGAGCCTGTATCATGGGAGAACATATTTGTATACAGCACAGCTCAGAAGCCAGAACAAACCAGGAATGAATGATCAAAACCAGAGAGCACTGCTACCAACTTTACTCCTTTGAAACAGGAATCTTTCCCAAATCAGTGGCTGCTGTCCTGGAAAGCCCAAACGCTGCACTCACACATCCCAACTCAGGCTGCTACCCTCCGTTCCCCAGTAGGAAACTGCCAAGCTATTCCTTACAGTAAAAAATACAAACCAGCATTGATTTTTCTCTGCTAATTAAATGCAGCATAATTAAACTAAGTAACTCCGCGCCTTGATTTGCAAAACACTAATTGAATCTTTAAAAATACTACTCCCGCTACACGCAAAAACGGGGGCATTCAACCATCTAAAGTGACAACTGAGAACCAGGCACGACTCCAGCAGCACAGAGAGACAATATGAGCCGTGCTTGAGCGTTTCCTTGTGAGAGCAGCAGCAATCTCAGCAGCCTTCCCCCATCCCTGGCACCTCAAGCAGAGGGGAGAGCTTTGAAAGAGGGAGGAAAAAATGAGCACGTTCCCTCTTGACATTTGCCCACGGACTCATCTTTTCTCATCTTGCACAAACACCAGAAGAGGAAAGTTGGAGAAGTTGCAATTAATCATTGCGTGTAGGCCCCGAAGCGTTGCAGCGCCCCGGCTTTACTGATGCTCCGCTCCATGGAAAGGACCGCAGAGGTGCGGGGAAACGAGAGAGGAGGAATAAAGGGGTGAGGGAAACAAAAAGGACAAGGCGGAGGAGAAGACACAAAGCCTGACCCACACGGCACCCGGAGCAGCGCCGGCAGCAGCCGCCGGCCAGAGCGTTCCCGGCCGCCCCGGGCCCAGCCGCGGCCCCGGCCCCAACCCGGGCCCTGACAGGCGCCTCCGGCCGGCCCGGGCCGCCGGTACCCCCCCCCACCAGAGCCCCACCGGGCCGCGCCAGGCCCACAGCCGGCAGCTCCGGAGGGCCGCGGCGGCGGCGGGGCGGCGCTGAGGGGATGGCGGCGAGCGCGGCCGGCCCCGGCGGGCTCCCGCTGTCCCTCCCGGCCCCGCTCACCTGCTTTCTCGATCTTGCCGGACATGTCGGAGCCGGGCTCGGCGCTCAGGCCCTGCCGCGCAGGTAGCCGGCTGAGCGGCCCGCGGGGCTTTGCCAGCCGCCGCCGCCTCCCGCCTGCTGCCGGCCGCGATCCGGGGCGAGGCGCTGCGGCGGCGGCGGGCTGCGGGGCTCGGCGGGGCTGGTGGGGCTCCGGCGGCGGCGGCAGCGCCCGCCCCCCGCCCGCTGCGCCGGGCCGCGAGGGGAAGAGGCGGCCCGGGGGCTCCCGCCGCACACGCGCCGCCCCGGGCCGCAGCGCCCCCTGCCGCCCGCCGCCACAGAGCGCCGGGCGGGGCCAGCAGCGGGCCCTGCCCGGGAGCGACGGCGCCGGGCGCGCTGGCAGGGGCCGGGCAGCCCTCGGTGCTGTCAGCCGGGGAGCCCCGGGCCCAGAAGTCTGCTGCGGGCCCCGTTCCGCTCGCCGGGCCTCCACGGAGGAGGTGGGGGAAACCTGAAGGAAGGAGGCGGCCCTGCGGGGTGGTTTCCCCCTCAAAACGCGATGCCCTGGGCGCGGGTTTGGGCAGGGCAGGGACCCGCCGGTCTGCGCTGCCCTTGAGGCCTCCAAGGCGCTCTGTGATCATCCAAATAGGCTGTAACGGCAGAATGTTTCTCTTGGAATGCTCCTGGGCAGCTAAATCACTGCTAACCAAAGGGAAATGAAGGTGGGATTGCTCAAACCCCGACACAGGTATTGCCTCCAACGGGCACAGAGCATCCTCACAGCATCCCGTCGAGCACCTCACACCCAGCAGCACTGGCCAATGTGAGCCCAGGCTGCCCAGCCCCGCTGCTGGAATTCCCACAGGAGAGCGTTGGGATTCGGCTTCCAGACACCAACGGCTCCGTCCTGGCCCCCCTCACCTCAGCACTCGGTTTAGTTTGAGCCTAGGAAGCAGCGGGAGCGGAGAAGAGAGTTCCCTTTAGCAGGATGAGAGCAGAGCCAGCGGGGTGGCCCTGGGCAACAGTAAATGGATGATGGGCCTATTTGAGAACTGACTCATTTCCACGACTTCATTAAGGACAAACTTCACCGTAACACCTTGTCTTGCAGGTAATGCCCTGTGCTGTGGACCCATAAAGCTCTGAAGCCTGGTGAGCCGTCAGCGGCTGTTTACTTCCTCCTGAATGGAATCAATCATTCGCGAGGCTGCTGGTTTTTTGCAAGCTTTACACACAACTTTTTAACAAGCTGACTTCATCAGCTTGTTTAAACATCTCACACACCTGGGGCTGGGCACAAGCTGCAGCAGGAAGTCTCCAACAGGGAGAAGTATGCTCTCATTAATGGTGCTTTTTGAGAGGCTTGTGGAGAGCTCCTGAGTGTATTTTCTTGCTAAATCTAAACCCCAAAAAAAGAAGATTTAGGGGCAGATTTTCCTCTTGCTGACACAAATGTAAAGGGTGGCTGTCTTGAAGCCACGCTGAGCTGTGCTGACTCACTCGTATTAGTGAGTGATAGTAACTAGGAACCGTAGTGGATGATGCTAATGCAAGCAGACCCGGCTGTGAGTACACACAGGAAGCAGACAGATGAAGTAAGAAGCTGCTATTCTTACACCCTCCGCTTTCAGTCTTGGGCAAGGAAGAAGGAGCATGTGTGCAATAACGTGCGATATGAACAGAACAGCTACTAAATTGGAAGGTCTTTTCATAGTCTCTGATATAAAAAGCCCCGTTCTGCCCATTATTGCCTCCGGGGGATGCTAGAGTTTCTCTTGAGTTTTCTGCATTAACATGTAACTCACACCGCCGGGAAAACCTGATGCTTCTATATATCCCATTGAGTTGGCTGAGGAAAAACACCCCAGAGCTATGTTGGTGTGTGTTGTTATGGACAGAGTTGGGGCCAGGAGAGCTGTGAATGGCTTTCTATGCCACTACAGGTGCTACGGAGATGTTAGAACTGGATGAACTTAAGGTCCTTTCCAACCCAAACTATTCTATGATTCTATGATATGTCTTGCTGCAGGCTGGGGAGTGAGGAAAGAGGAGGACTGTAACTGTTACCTTCAAATGGGAGCAATACTGAAGCATCCTGCAATGAGCCAGTTTTTCAGGTGCTGATGTTACATCAGGAAGACTATGTTGTGCCTTTGTACCGGTGTGGATACCTGCTTTGATGAGAGTGCAGTGCTAAAGGTCATCCTGCAGCAAGAGGCAAGCAAGAGGGGTCCAACAAGTGGAGCCTCCTTCCCTAGGTGTTTCTTCACCTGGAGAAACTACCTGGCCACAAACCTCTGCAGATGGTCGGTCTCCACATGCAAACCCCTCCGATGTCCTCTGCTTCATCCTTGTTCACCTATGCCGCCATATGCAGCTAGGGAAAGGCCAACGGACAGAAACTGCAGCCCCGCAGGGTGATCTCCTGCACTGAGTCACTGGACTTTACAGCTGACCCACTGAACAGGGGAAATTGTGCAAGAAATGCCAGCAGATAGAGACGTGCGATTAGAGAAGAGCTCTCCTGCCCTCTAGTGCTCTTCCCCTCTCCGGGCAGCTTCTTCCCACCCCAGCCCCTGCTCTCCTCTAGTTTATGGGGCCAGGGCTGCAGTGATGCGGTGTCTGTCCCTGTAGAAATGCAAGGAGATAGCGGCTGTTCACCCCAAACACAGCTGTCCAAGTGGGTTTCAGTAGCAGGGAATACTGGGATTACATGGGGAAATGCATTTTAGCCCACTGCCTTCTTGCATGATGGCTTCTGAACCAGCACTGGCCTTGATAACATTGCTGCTCAGTGTGGTTAAGACACAAGCAGCTCTCTGTAAAGACCTTATTCAATACTCACAAGGATCCCCAAGCAACAGATACACCACAGCGACCTGATGTGCTCCTGCTACCGCACACACTCAGCCCTCAGGGTGGAAAACTTTGCAACTGGGAAGAGGTAGAAAAAAGATGGGGTGGAAGCAACTAAAGCAAAAGGGCAAGATTCTCACCTCCTGTTAATGGATGCAACTCCTCTGAGGTCTTCAGTGGAGGCAAAAATAGTAGTGAGGTGCCAGTATATGGGGGAAAAGGGGAATTGCTCAGGGAAGGAGAAGATGGCATAGCTGCAGGGAACAGGCTCTGGGTGAGAGACTCAGAGGAGCAATGCAGAAGGGGACAGAGCTGGGAGCTGAAGTAGCTGAGGGCAGAGCTTCTGTATCAGCCCCCTGGGGAAAGAATATGTATATATACACGATGCGGGCTGCATCAAACTTCATATGAGCAAAAGAGCACAAATGGGAGACCTTGATCCTGGGTACATCCCCATTTTTCACGTCCTCGAGGCAGCCCCCGTGTTTCGCAGGGTTCCCCATACCTGGCTGGTGGTCCCACTGTGGGCAGACCCTGTGTTCTTTGGCTGAGCCGCACTGACACATGACTGACACGGCTTTATACCAGCTTTTTCCTTTAAAAAAAGGGAAGTTTGGGTGCTGACTCTAGAGGGCAGCATATGCCGACACATGGGGCTTTGGGGCGGGGGGGGGCAGAGCTGAGCCCCCAAGTAAAGTCTCCGGTGCAAGGAGAAAGAAAAAAATCCCGGCGCTGGTTATTCAGAGGAAGCAGCCATGAGGATGCTCCCCAAAGGCCACGCTGCTCTCTGAGCATCCGGGCACGGAAATGGGGCATCAGGACACAGGGAGAGTGGATTTATCCCTGTCTGCAGGTGGGACATTCCAACCTTGGAACCTCGGTCACTTCTCTGCTCGGCCAAAACTGAACATGGAAAATCAAATCCCCTCGCACTGCATAGCCCTTGAGCTAAGCCCCACGAGTCCCTGCCCCGGGCTCATCTCTGGCCTCAAAGACCAACAGATCCTTTGGCTGCTTGAAATGTGTCCCTCACCGTTTCAGGGCTCCCCATCTGTAAAACATAGCCAGTCCCACAGGCAGGAGAGCAGAGACCCAACAATGCCCAGGTCACTGGGGCCAGGTGGTTTAATGAAAGATAAAGTTGTACTTTCAGATCTGTTGAAGTTTTTTGGTGTCTTTGTCTTAGTCATTTATGAAAGGAAGTAAATAGGAAAACGTGTTTTGGCCTCACACTACTAAAGGAGGATGAGGTGGATGGAGAGAAAGGCCCTGGGATTATTAAAAAGGAAAACACAGAGAGAGAGATTAACAACTTTTGACAACTCCCTTGTACATTTAAAGTAATTAGGAAGGCGCATGTGGAAGGAGAAAAGGCTATTAAGGTTCTTTCTCTGGCCTAACCTTATCCCTCTACTGGGGGCTGTATTTCACAATGGAAAAATGAAGCATGTGAATCACCACAAAAATACATATTGGCTAACAATGAAGGGAGAGGCTAACAAGCTGTCTGGTACCCCGAGGTGTTTCTGTCAGCACTTCCCTGGTGGTCTGATGTCCTCTCACCTTACCACATGTGGAGGTTCACATCAATAGCTCGTGGAGACCGGAGGAGCTTCACATCTGGACCTCCTTCATTGCAGTGCAGCTCGCATCCACCTCCATGAAGGACCTCCTGGAAAGGGAGACAAGCCACCACATAGCCTGAGGGTGTTCAGGAAGGATAGGATGGAGGGCCCCATTCAGAGCATGAGAAGCAAACCCAGCCCATACACAAGTGCTCTTTAAAACCTTGCTTTTCTTCCAGGTCCTTTTCCATGGATCAGTGACCCTTCCTGCTTCACACTACAGAGCAAACAGAAGCTGAAGGTGACCCAAGTCACTCCCTACAGGAAAGAGTGAAACCAAAATGAACCCAAAAAGAAAATCAAAATCAATATTCCAAAGTCAAACAATAAAAATTGTGTTATGGAAACAGAGGTCACCCAGAGAATAATGTAATTAGATGTGACAGCCCAGATTTCCTCTCTCTGCTAATCCCAAGCGGGGAGAGCTTGTGCCCAAGCCAGAGTGTCACCTGCCCATTTAACTGAAGGATCATCCAGTTCATACAGCTCACAGCAGATGCACATAACTGGAAGGAAGTGGAAAGAGAAACCTGAGGGAGCTGGATGAAATGCAGAGGGTCATGGTTTGAAACAGTGAAGGCACAGAGAACACGCCTGGGAGAGAGGGAACACGTTTGCGTGTGGAAAGGCATCACCTCCAGTGTAGAAAGCTATCTTGGGGTGGGCAGGCCTCTCTGTGCCTCAGTTTCCCCTTTTGTAGAAGGGCCCTTTCACCTTTGCAATTAGATAAGACAGGCACAGACTCCTCTAGACCTCATTATAAGAACAGCAGCCAGTGTGAAGATGAAACAGTGATTCTCACCCAGC